TTTTCCTTCCCAGCATCAACTCTCCTTTCATCAAAAGAGAAAGTCAAGTTCTGTTTCATGGACCTGGACCAACTTGAACTACTTACAAGAGTCCATAATAATTTCAAAAATAGATATTTCCTTCTTTTTTATTGATATATATTTGTTTTGTATTGTAATTTTTTCTTGTACATATGCACTGATAAAAAAAACAAAGTTTCATTCATTATGGTAAGAAATTATAGAAATTGTGTCTAACAAAACATGACAGTAAAATAGTTGTCTAAAGGTGTATCTCACTTTTTAGATTTTTTAAACCACCTTTAAATTTATAAATAAATTAATTTTAAAATTAATTCTATTATAAGATCAAAATATGATTAGTCACAAATCTCTTCATTAGTTTGTTACTAGTAATTAGTATTAAAGAACAAGCTGGTTTATATTGGGAATTAGTTGTGACATTTACTGGCCTGAATGTCTGAGAAATTCTCATAGAAAATATGCATCCTCCAACAGGAATCAAATCTGTATCCTATAAGGAACCGTCATATAGCCTGATGTGCTTTTACTGATTGAGCCACAGAGGAGTGTTTCAGTTAGCAAGGTCGATTTTACTGTTTTTAAACTACAATTCTATAATGTTTATACAATTTATAAACAATTTTATAAGCATAAAAAATGTCTTAAAATAATTGTGGGTCTTTCTCCATTTCATAATGTGTGACGTCATTTGTTTACATTTGGATATGAATGTACGAGAGAAAATCATCGAGAATTGTGGTTTAAAAACAGTAAAATTAACCTTGCTAACCGAAATGCTGCTCTGTGGCTCAATTGGTAAAAGCATGTCAGGCTATATGACAGTTCCATATAGGATACAGGTTCGATTGCTGTCAGAGGACACATATTTTCTATGAGAATTTCTTGGACATTCAGGCCGGTAAATGTTGTTAATACTGTTTATTATAAACAGGGCATTTACTTAAATATTTGTATCTATAAAAAGAACGTATAAACATAAAAAATGTCTTAAAATAATTGTCGGACTTTGTCCATTTAATAATGTGTGATGTCATTGATATATTTACAATATTTACATCATTCAAACTGTTGTCCTCATCTTTATTGCTATATTCCTAATGTTTCAGTCATCGTACATTCTGATCATCTTCAGGTGATATACATAGAAATTTTGAACTGAACCCTTTGTTTAGTCCACAGGAGTAGATTGTTCTAGTTCAACATTCTATAACCTTTTTTTGGATATCTCATTATCAGTTAATTCTCCTCAGTAACTCAACTCTCCAAGGTTTTGTTCCAAAAGTGAATTAGCCGATACTGAGATATCCAAAAAAAAAAAGGTATGCTACATGGAAATTGTAAGCTAAAGAACACTACACCTGTGAAGCCTCAAGGATAGAAGCATTAGGTTATATGGTTGCTTTGTTGCAAGAAAGACTGATTCACTTAGCAAAAGAGATGGCATCATGTCAAAGAAAAGCTATGTGGTTATATTGAGCCAAGATCTCAAGACATCAGTCAGAAAGTTAAAGTTTGGTTGCAAATAGCTCTTCCAAGTGTACAATGATCTAGATATATTTCCAAAGCTGTCACAAAATGGCTTAAAAGGACAACAAAGTTAAAATATTGGAGTGTCTATCACAATAGCTTGATCACAATCTAACAGAAAATATGTGGGAAGAAATCAAAAAGCATGTGTGGAGCAAGGAGTTCTAGAATGTGGCTGAGTTCTGCCAGGACAAATGGACCCAAAACCCAATGGAAATATGATAAATGAAATAAAAGCTTGAATCATTATCTACACTGCTATTCTGACATTTCATATTCTTAAACTTTATCACTCTGTATGAGACTTCATTTGCTGTACAAAAAGTTCATCCTGCCACTGAAGGTGACTCTGATCCATGAATAATAGTGTGGTTGAATTTCATAGTTGTGTTGTCATATCCAACTTGAAATTAACAATAAGGATACTGCAACTCATTGCACTGATGAGCTACTTTCACTGATACCCAAACTGCATGAATTTAAGCATGCTACTAAGTTGGCATCTCAGTCCCACTCTTTTAATGTCAAAATGGTTAAATGTAGCTGTCTTTTCTACTCTAACAGCTTATCTTGCACTTCTCAACAATGGAACTCCCTTCCTCTTAATTGCTTCTCTGATAGCTACAATCTTCAAATATTCAAATGTAATGTCAATCAACATCTTCTGATGCCTTGGTCTTGATCCCTGTCCTTCTCTTTATCCTTTCTTAAAACACCCCTCTTTACTTTCACTCTCACTCTCACTCTCTGTAACCCTTCGCATGCTAGTGTGATATGCTTGGGGTGATATGCCTAAAAGAAAATTGATAGGCCTTAGCATTTATCACTCTGTATAAAACTTTATTTGCTGAAAAAAAATTCATCCTGCCATTGAAGATGACTCTGATCCATGAAGATTAGTGTGGTTGAATTTCATAGTTGTGTGGTCATATCCTGCTATGGCAACAGAAAACATCTTGAAATTAAAAATAAGTGAAATTAACAATAAGGATAATGCAATTGAGAGGCCTTGAAAAAAGAATACAGTGGAAAGAGAAGTAATATTAATAATACAGAATGCTAAAGGTTAAAATCAAATTCTGATCCTAATTGACCTAAAACAAGGAATCTTTACAAGGATTAAATGTGAGGAATTTTGAAAAATTGAGTTGAAATGTATTTGGCTAAAGTGTATGTAAACATTTGACTTTAATTATATATGAATATTCTTTCTTTTCCATAAAAGAAATCTCATAAACTAGTATGATTTTTCCAGAGCTAAAAACAGAAAAGTAGATGGTACGTCTTTTGAAATCTATATAGAAAATATGTAAAGACATCCTAAAATATCTTTGAATTGAGATATTATTTTTCTTGTTTTGAATTGAAATATTTTTCTTAAGGTATCAGCAAATGCACATATTTTGTGAAGTTGCAACACAGCACATCACCACGAATCATTTAGAAAAAGAGAATACAGCTGAGATGGAATAAATCTACTTCTACATGATAAAATACTATAGTTTTATTCCATATATTTACTCTAAGATTTCTGAAGCTTATGCAAAAGACTTATTATGACATGCATTTCACAGAAAGGGCTATTTTAAGAGAGAGAATAAAACAAGGAAACTTCTTACTGATATTTCTCAAAATCACCTCTATCTTTTTATACTTAAATGGAAATGACAAGAGAATATAGTTTTAGAATAGTACTACTTAACCCACATATACCCTCACCTAAGAAAAAAAAATAAACAAAAATAAATATAATTAATCCATCTTATCTGGGTCCTGTGACTGTTTTCCTTCAATAAGATTAAAGTATTATTTAGATTAATAATCTTATGGGCTGTACAATTTGATTAACCTGAAATCATCCTTAAGTAAAAGTAGGTAATACAAAATTTGGCAGAAATAGCATAAGATCCAATTAGGCAGAAAAAAAATAAAGAAAGCTTTTTGAATTGTTCTAACAAAATGTCTTTTTTTCTGCTGATGATTCTGTTTAAAGATTTCCTCAAAGAAAAGAGTTCTTTAGCAACATATTTAAAAAAGACATCATTGCCTGAGTGGGCAACCTGTCAAGGATGGCTATAGGGGTAACAGCTTTTCTGATACTGCTACTGTATGGTGGCTATAGGAGTGTGGTTTGCCCAAACACTGTTTCACCTACTGTCTCTATCATGGCATAACAGTAACAAGAGATTTTGTCAGTATAGCTGGTGGTGAGACTGTGTGCAGGGAGAAGTGGATTTATGCCTTTCCCAAGGACATTAGAATGGAGTGACCATAATCAGCTTAAGTGAACATTTCAACTTGGCTTGCAAATTCTGTTTTAATTTTGGTCACTATTATACCACACCATTTCCTCATACATAGGTGCAACTTCGTAAAGATGCATGTATTTCTGAATGAATTTGCATATGTGTGAGTATGTGTGTGTGTCTGAAAGTGTGTGTGTGTATATTCTGACCATTTAATAATGGCAGATATGAAACAAGGTCTTTTTCAATGTAAAAATCCATATGCTTGTATGATGAATTTGTACAAAAATTGTCTGGTTCCATCAACTTTTGCTGAAGGTAGAAGGTGACCCACACTTTTTGGAATAAGGGAAAGGTTCTATCTGAGAGATGGAAACCAAACTTTTAAATAGTCTATTAAAAAATAATTAAAATTTGCAATATTCTTTGGTAAAGAGCATCTGTAGATATAAGTTGTGTTGTTTTTTTTTTAGGTCCACACTGTTGTTATCTATCTATCTATCTATCTATCTATCTATCTATCTATCTATCTATCTATCTATCTATCTATCTATGTTTGTTCTTATCTATCTATCTATCTATCTATCTATCTATCTATCTATTTATCTATCTATCTATCTATCTATCTATCTATCTATCTATCTATCTATCTATCTATCTATCTATCTATCTATCTTGATTCATAGCTCTCTCTTTTGCTATCCAGAATTACATCCCTAACAAATCTATCTGCATTGATATCTGTCAGTTTATTTCAGCTTGTTCATATCTATCTATCTGAATACCAAAGATATAAATATATTTCTGAATACATATAGTTCTATTTGGATACTTTATATATATATATATATATATATATATATATGGATAGATAGATATAGATATTTATAATATTTATTTTATACTGTTATTTTACATCAAGCACTTTTATTACCACTAGCACTCATCAAATGTTCATTGGCTGTCATATTCAATGAAACATAATTGATAGAAAGGTTGCTACCCAAATATATATATATATATATATATATATATATATATATATATATATGTATATATTTGCAAAGAAAAAATGGTTGATCAGGGTATTTCTGGAAAATAATGCTTTTATTATATATATTTCTGAGTGTGTGAAGTAAATGTTTCATACATGGAAGTAAATACATATGAATGGATGTCTACCTATATGTCACTGAAATGTTT